AGATACAAGCGACTCAAATCAATATCAAATATTGAATGATCAGAATTTTGAATTCCTTTGCTTTTATGCCAATGATATCGTATCAATAACCTGAAAATTTGAATTTCGTTTTTGAGGGATGTTTATTTAATTCTTTCATCCTCTCCTCAAAAAAATGATACCTGCTACCTCATCGAGCTAGGAACCCTAAAGTAGCCTGGGTGCCATCCTCCATAGTTACCGCCGGCTCCATATTGTCGCTGGCTACTACAGTCCACTGTGGTAACCGGCGATATTGGGAGCCAAGCGGTGGTAACGGTGTCTGGCTAGCTTTAGTCGGAATATTAAAGTTCTCACGGTATTTTGTTGTTTTGTTAAGCAGTGATTATAGTCTTAAATAGCACATATTCCCTTTGTGTAGGACGTATAGTTATTATACAGTTATCTAGGAAAATTCAAACATACGTGTTAATGACATGCTTAACCGTGATCACATTCCATTAGGATATGATTTTTGAGATTTAGTCAAATTTGCAATAAGTAAAAGTTTTTTTCTGAATCTCCAAAAATAAATGGAATAGATTCTGCAATGTTTCCTTGTCAAATGTACGATTTTTTCTGAATCTCCAAAAATAAATGAAATAGATTCTGCAATGTTTCCTTGTCAAATGTACGATTTTTTTCTGAATCTCCAAAAATAAATCAAATAGATTCTGCAATGTTTCCTTGTCAAATGTACGATTTTTTTCTGAATCTCCAAAAATAAATGAAATAGATTCTGAAATGTTTCCTTGTCAAATGTACGATTTTTTTTCTGAATCTCCATAAATAAATGAAATAGATTCTGCAATGTTTCCTTGTCAAATGTACGATTTTTTTCTGAATCTCAAAAAAAATTGTACAATTCTTTTTTCTGAATAAAAAAAATGGAATATATTCTGCAATGTTTCCTTGAATGTTGCCCCAGCCCTCAGGGGCCGGGGATCAGATATACCGTGGGATTACTTGAACTACTGGTGACAAGTTACAGTGCGTGTAAGCTGTCTCCATGAGAAGATCTTACCGGCAGTGGGCATGAACACACACGAGTGTTGTGAATGTACTGATTAGTCTAGAGATCGTAATGTTCAGAATGGAGTGACATGAAATAGTAATATCTACCAGACTTCTTGGTTTGCTACAAATAACGAATAAAATCAAATCATAAAGCTGGTAGTCGGCCAAACAGTTACAGGTTATGTAAAGTTTGCTCTGGCAAATTATTTGGGCTATTTATGGGTTCACCACAAAGTGGTGAAACCATATTGCTTTTTCTCATGACTCTCCTTCTCCTCCTGCCATTTCTTTAAATGGATTCAGCTTCTTCATTTGCGGGCCTAAGGACCTGAAATTTGGTATGGAGGTACAGTAGGCAAATACCCCCAGGCGTTTTTTTAATTTTTGTGATACAGGCTTTTAGAATGGTTTTATTTGAGTTTTTTGGCTGTGTTATAGCAAATGTATTACTGAGTTAGTGTGCAGTGTTACCAGATTTGGGCATGAGTCATCACAATGGAATGCAGGGCATCAACCAATAGGCATGCAGCTTTCCTCTATTCTCCTTGCTGATTGGTTGTTGGAATTTAACAGGCTTAACTTAATTAATACCTGCACAGAGCCATTCCATACTGGCAAGTATGTCTGTATTCAAGTGTTTTGGTAGGTATTTTAAGCTTTCCTGCTCCAGCATTGGAATGCGGGGCATGAACGCTTCTTTTTTTCTTGAAAATCAACAGTTTGCATTATGCAATTAAAAATCCTAACCAATAATGTAGGGAATAGCTATCCAACTGTTGTAGTCTTAGTTGTATGTTACTTCATACTATAGTTATATCAATGTAAAGCATTGTTTTCCCTTGTGTTTCTCATTCTTTCCCTGCCATGTCGTAAAATGTGGTGAAGCCATTGCTGTATTTGCTCCAAAGCAAATGTCGGCCTTTCTAGTTGTAACAATTTTATAAGCAGCCCATAAGGTCTGATAGAGACTATAAAAACAAAAACGATGTTTGAATATATTTTAACACGCTGATCAAAGGCAATAAACTTGGTTTGTTGCAACAGTTGTGTGTATTAAAGATGCATTAGGGCATAGGGACGATACAAAAAGTCAATTTTTGGATCATTTTTTTTACAAAGAAAGTTGAATCAACCTCTATTGCAAAATAAGTGCTATTTAGGGTGCCAAAATATAACGCCTTACGTGTGTGTTTCGCTGCTGGAAATTTACATGTTTGTTTACAGTCTGGTATTTTGTGGTGGTACTACAATTTGAGTTCGCCTCATGTTGCCTGTTTTAGCGCCAACCATAAATGTAAAAAAAAATGTCAGATAATGGCAAAAAATATGTTGAAAAGTGGAAGTAGATTACAATCACAAGATGATTCTCGAAATATTTTGATTTTTGTTACAATGTGAAGTGAAGACCTTGAGTTTCCCATCCTGACAGACGGCAGGTCACTTTGTTATCAAATCTCCTGGTAAACTAGAAAGGCCAATATTTGCTTTGGAGCAAATACAGCGATGGGTTCACCACATTTTACCACATGGCAGGGAAAGAATGAGAAACACAAGGGAAAACAATGATTTACATTGATATAACTATAATATGAAGTAACATACAACTAAAACAACAGTTGGATAGCTATTCCCTACTTTATTGGTTAGGATTTTTAATTGCATAATGCAAACTGTTGATTTTCAGAATAAAAAATAACGTTCATGCCCCGCATTCCAATGCTGGAGCAGGAAAGCTTGAAATACCTACCAAAACACTTGAATAAAGACATACTGTCAGTATGGAAATGCTCTGTGCAGGTGTTAATCAAGTTAAATCCCAACAGCCAATCAGCAAGAAATGCTCTGTGCAGGTGGAAATGCTCTGTGCAGGTGTTAATCAAGTTAAATCCCAACAGCCAATCAGCAAGAAGTATAGAGGAAAGCTGCATGCCTATTGGTTGATGCCCTGCATTCCATTGTGATGACTCATGCCCAGACATGGTAAACATGGCACACTAACACAGTAATACATTTGCTATAACACAGCCAAGAAACTCAAATAAAACCATTCTAAAAGCCTGTATCACAAAAATTTAAAAAACGCCTAGGGGTATTTGCCCACTGTACCTCCATACCAAATTTCAGGACCTTAGGCCCTAAAATGAAGAAGCTGAATCCATTTAAAGATATGGCAGGAGGAGGAGAAACATCAGAAAAAGCAATATGGGTTCACCACCACTTCGTGGTGGTGAACCCATAATTACGACAGAATTCCTGATATTACAAGACAACTGCATTTGCTGCCATATTCTTGTAAGTAATATCAGTATACAAAAGTTAACAAGGAAAATCGTAGATTTTGTACCTCCGGGTGTTGTAATGTATGTTGCAGAATGTTGGGTGCATGTTGGGACTGTTCTTTAAATTAACTAGTGAATTCGCGCGAATACCATTTTTTTTCGAAAAGTTTCGAAATGTTTGTAATTGGCTAAATGATCTGTGAAATCACTAATCCCCCCTAGCCGACTGGAGCCCAAAAATAGAAAGGACAGGAGGCATCCCGTGGCGAATCTGGCTGCCCGACCCTCAGCGACCAGCGATAATGTAAACAAACACCCACACAAACGGCCGCGTGAGAAATCAACTTGCTCTCGAAAATTTATCAAGCCGACCGCTTCCCCCCGCGGCTGCCATCCCTCCCCACTTATCCCACACTAATTCAAATCACGCTCGGTCTTCAAGTATATCTTAGTGGATGATGAAAATCAGAAAACAACACGGAAATCCCCACCGAAGTTCGAAAACACAGGGACTCAGCGGTCGAGAGGCTTTGAGTACAGACACCCGGCCAGATCCGGACGCGAGGAGAGCCAGGGCGCAAATCAGGGTCGGCGGGGCGTGTGGCTTTCCCTGGCCGAAAGATTATCGCTCACTCGCGGTAGGGGATGGCACCCAAGCTAGCTCCAGGATAACATCGGCGACCCCGAGCCGAGTGTGCTGATTGATTGGCGAAGATGTAACCGCAAATGGTCAACCCGCGCGACCATTTTCACACACTAACAACAGTAACGGGTGTCCGAGACACGAAATACAAATAATCTTACGCCCCAAAACACATATACAATAAAACCAAAAAAACTGCACCATCTACAGCCCATTAACAGAAGATACACCCGTCTACCCCAACGCGAAATGCATGTCGAGAACGTCTGAGACAGTATACCACGGTATTTGTAAGTTAAGAAGTCGTAATATACGCCGAAAACATCCGAAATTGCGCAAGAGGGCGTTGACCCCTGACCCATTGGCCCACCCGGAAGTTGGCTGGCTGCGACCCGCGCGACCATTTTCACACTCGATACCTGAAACCCCCTCTCACCAGATGTGGACGCAACCTACGACACTTTATACACGCCGAAAACCAAAAGACAAAACCACTTTCACACACAAGGGGTGTCCATACGCTGTCAAAACGCATCATTTTCACGCACTAAAACACACATACTAAAAAACAAAAACAACGTGCACCATCTACAGCCCAATAGCAAAACGTATACCAAGTCCCAGACATATCCGTCCACCCAAACGCTAGAAACTGCTGCGAACGTAATTTTCGTCTTCCCCCACAAAACCTCCGCGCACGGGATACATCCCTACCCGGAGGTAAAAAGGATTCATTATTTATGATTAAAAAAAAAGACATTCAAATTTGAATATTTAAAGCCATTTTCTACCGAATTGGTGATGGATCCTGGAGGAAAAAAATACAAATGCACATTGTCTTTAAAAAAAGTGTCCTCTCTTGGATACTACTAGCTATAGTTTGTGCAAAACTGTTATTCCTGCACTCTGAAATGGTTAAGAAGATGGTTAGAGGTGATTAAGCTATAAATGATAAGTTGTGGGTGTAGCGCTGTTTCTGTTTCATTCCAGAATACCTTATCCCAAACATGTTATGGAATGGAACACGTTTTGGAATGCGTTTCCTATGGTGTGTTCCGTATCCCCTCCCCTGGGATCTCCCATGGCCAGTAGGTGTTAGGTAGTGTGACGGTGGGGAGGGAAGCACGCCGTGGTGTGTTATATGTTCCCTCCCCTGGGATCTCCCATGGCCAGTAGGTGTTAGGTGGTGTGACGGTGGGGAGGGACGCACGCTGTGGTGTGTTACAGTAGAGGATTGCACCTGTGACCTTGGCGTAGTGACTCACACCCCGGAGAGCAGGCTGGGATACCAAAGCTGCCCTAAACTCTCTTCGGGTCCTGATATCTGCGACCCCGGAGGCGTTTCTGTAGAAAGGATTACGCTGGCCTTCGGTCTGTCCAGTGGATCCATATGTGGCAATGGCTCGTCCAGACCGACACCTGCTGGAAGTAGTGCCATTGTCCCGCCTGTTTGTGATGACATGAAGCGAAAACTCTGCATCAGCATAGAGAGGCATAGGTCCGCTCTCATCATCTGGGGTCTCAATGTAGGTATGGTGTGAGACGGGCAGGGGGTGTTGTGCAGCAGTTCCGTGATTTGGGATCTCCCAGCATGTGCTCGGGAGGGCAGGCAGGGGGCGCTGCGCAACCGCCAAGTGATCTGGGATCTGACTGTAGGTGAGTTCGATGGACTGTAGAACAGCCGGCAATGACCTACAGGAGCCTGTGTCATCCGACGCCATCTTTTTACCTGAACACGCAGGGAGGGAAGCGGACCTCAGCAAGCCGGGGAAAGTAACGCAAGACGGGATGGTCCAAATGTGCGCATCGTCGCTGGTCCTGTCATCCTCAGCTTTTAACCTTGCTGCGCAAACCTTCCACACCAACACTACAAGGGGCGGCAGGACTAGAAAGATCACTGCCGAGACAACGACTGGGATGACAACATGACCTGGTGCCTGAACCTCTAGATCTTGCCCATGTGTGGTGCTCATGACCTGAAGTGTGGAGTACATGTAGTTCCTCTGTTCTGGAGATGTGTGGTCTTTCTCTGTAGTTTCAGAGTAGTGTGTGGGGCTACCGGAGATGGTAGTACCGGTTCTGTAAGAGGCCTGTGTTGTGTGTGTGTGACGCTGGACCGGGGGAACGGTGAAGAACAACTTTGTGTGTTCACCTCTGGTGATGCGGATGCAGCTGATGTTCCTTGTGTTGTCGTTGGTGGCGTTTGTGTGGATGGTGTACGTGTCAGACTCTGTGGTGGTGCGTGTGTTCGTGTCTTGTGTCTGAACAAGCGACATGGCAACACCTTCAAAGCCTGTACTCTCTGTTGCCATGGAAACCAGTCGGAAGAGTGAGTTTCCCATCAGGTCTAGGTTCACTGCGACGCCCCCACCGTATTCCCAAACCTGCCTGCATTGCTCTAGCGTGTTGGGATCCATTTTTTCTGTGCCGTCAGTAGCCAGGACAACTACAGGAGCCTTAATGGAGATCGTCCTCAGAGAACTGTCCAAATCACCACATGACATGCCGGGATTGACCGCTCCAAATTCGGTGTTACCAGCCACATTGTCCGACGAATCAAACATCCAACCAAAGGACACTCCATTAGTATTGTGTCTGACACAGAAGAGGAACTTGGGCACGACAACGACCATTGTTACAGACCCTCTGAAAACATTGGCTAACCGATGTAAGCTCCACGTCATTTTATGTGGCGTTGCATCATGGACAGACGACAACATACCACTGCTGACATGGAGCTGTTTTAGCGAAGACTGTCCCCGGAACACATCTTCATCCAAACATGACAGGTCATTATCCCCCAGGTCTAAAGAGGTCAGATGTATGTGTTGGAATGCCCCTGGGGAAATGGTAGTGATTGCATTCGATCTCAGAATCATCGTGATCACACCAACTTTCAGTCGAATGCGCCAGGAAGGGTCTACAGCCTGTAACAGGTTGTTCTCTAGATCCAACACCTGTAGGCGGGTGAAGTCCGCGAAGCTCCCAGGTTCTATCTGCCTGATGCTGTTGTTGGACAAAATCAACATCAAGAGATTCTCCAAGCCAGTGAACCAGGTTTGATTGACACTTGTTAACCTGTTAGAATCTAAGGACAGTTTCTCCAGACTGGAAAACCCAGCGAAGGTGTTATTCTCCACATCAGTGATCTTTGCGTCTATCAGAGCCAAAATGTGGACCTTCGAATGCTCGAGCGGTGCCAGTTTCCTGGCCGACAGGACATGGAAGGGATACCCTCTTATTGCCACTTTATTGGCTGAAGCAAGAAAGGGGAAAGGACTTACAGAGGCAACATCCCCATTCAAGACTTTACACAAGACGCATACAGCTTCACGTATTTTGATCGTAGAAATTCCCGGCTTGTCTGTACAAGGCACACACTCTAGCCATCCACCTTTCTTACAGTGAGGAACATGCATATGTGGGCTCCCTGAGGCTGCACAAGCAGCTGCCAAGAGAAGCAAGAACAACATGGCTGCGTTTTTCTTCAGTGCTCCACCTCTTACATCACCTCTTATGTAATTTTTAAACCTTTACTATTGTTTAATGTATAATTTTATGAACTTATGCTGTCTGTAAGAACAACTCAATTTGGACTCTCGTCTGCCGCAGTAGTTGTTTGAATAAAGATTGATTGATTGATTGATTGATTACATGCTTTCCGCCTGTCCGTATCGAAATCCTTCGTGCAAAAACTGCATGTCACATACCTGCTGTTTGAGTAAATGATTCGCAGATCTGTGGCATCGAGGGCTGTCGCCAGCCAGGTGAACACCTCTTTCCTCCGCCAGGTTTAAGGTGTAGTCTGTGCGTACACTGCATTTACCAGACTAATAACTCCAGTGTTATATGTTCATGCATTTCGCGATTGACGTATTCGGTAATTGTTATTGTACTGCCGCGGAGCTTCCTGATGCTCAGACGGATGTAGTGAAATTACTAGCAGCCTATGACTATTGAAGTACCAAGAGTCTCTGAACTGTGTGCCTTGCTCTGAAATAAAATCATTACCTCTATTTATTATTACCTTCGTCTGGCCAGAATGTTATGTTTTGGTGTCGGTTACATGTTGTTTAGCAGCATAAGTCAAGAACTGTAGATGGATTTTCAAGAAATTTGATGTGTGGTTTTATATTGACCTATGGAATAAATGATAAGATTTGTACCCTGTGGCGCTTTTTCTTGATTCTGCAAATGTGGTTTTGATATCTCGTGTTCTGAATATACAAGGCTCATGATGTTTGAGTGGTACGAGTAGATAGTTCTTGTAAATTCATACGTGTGACATACATGTAGGTTTGTCCCCCTTGCAAATATTTTAAGTACTGGGACCAAGTTTGGAAGTTTATAACTCCAGAAAGACCTTTGGCGAATTGTAATGGTAAATGATGAAAATTTTATTCCTGGGCGTTTGAAAGAAAATGACAGGTTTACATCAGTAGACACGTACATAAATCATGCCAATCACTGTCTTACTTGCATAAAAGATGAGAAAATATTACAACTGACTTTGTTAAGAGAAGAATCTCAAACTTTAGACAACTTGCACTGCTTTGGTTAGATGAGATCCTTAACTGATATAATTTATGAAATTTCATAATAAGGGAGCCATAAAGTTTATAACATTATTGGTGAAGGTATGAGGTTGTAGAACACTTTTTAGATTTCGTTTGTCAAAAAGCTCAATTCCGCTTGGGTGTAGTTACAAAATCATTATTCTAGTTATCAACTTCGCCAAGAATCAAGTTGAAGTTTGCGTGTGCTTTTATTACTTAGGCCACACCAAGTAAATTTTATGGATGACGTCCACGCGAGCATTGATTTTGGCCTGTTCCTAGAAAAAAAAACCCAAGAAATTCCGCTTCCTGTTACTATGACCAAAGAGTCACGACAGTGCCACAAATAGGTTTGTACGGGCCAAAGCTTATGAAGCATCAAGCAAGACTTCTATTAGGAATTCAGTTTGGTACATGCTGCCACATTTGAAGAAACTTGCTGACCGCTCCATCTATCTCCCCAAAGCACAAGACGACAACTGCTGTTCCACCTGATTTATTGCTGTTTTGATGATGAATAAAAGATTTCTTGCTTGTTACACTGTGTCACCTCATTTAATTTGTGTCCTAACATTTGTCGTCTCTTAGTATATTTCTAATCTAGGCATCTTGTTTTTTATGGCCCTTCTTGTTTTTTTTCGCCCTCTCGCATTAGATTTAGGGTCTCCAAAGGACGTCATCCATAAAATGTACTTGGTGTGGCCTTAGAAGCTATTGATCGTTATAATGATGTTTGGTATGGAGGCGTCAACCAAAAGACAGGTTCTGTTCTGGGTCTCCCAGCAGCTTTATTTCTATGGTACTGCCGTTACAGGAACGTCTGGTTTGTACATTTCACATCACAGATACCAAAGATGGCCAGGTTTCAGACTTAAATTACGTGAGGCTTAGGCCTCCCAGTGGCTTTCCTTGGACCTGCAGGCATGTTTTTGTTCATGCATGCCCGTAGCCAGGGGAGGACTTTTGAGCCTTGTGGGGGAGGTTCCGCCCCCCCCCCCAAACAAAAGTCCACTTTTGGGTCCACATTTTATGTAAAGGTCCAAGATTTTTCTTGAAAAGATGGACTGGTATCGTCGAAAAACTGCTCCCTTTGTCATTGAATAAAAATTTTTCTCTGATTTTTTCTTGGAAATCCTCTCGAAAATGCACGAAATGCCATTTTAGAAGGTTCATCTTTCAAAATTTTCCGGGGGAACATGCCCCCGGAACCCCATAGGAACGTCGCGCCTACGGCGCTCGAGGTCCCCTCAAGCAGTGGAAACGACCCCCCCCCCCGTTCAAAATCCTGGCTACGGGCATGCCATGTGTATTTGAATTTCTGTATTTTGAAACAGGGTAACTCGAGTAGGGATAAAAGGATTTCTATGAAGTTTTGAAGTTGTCATCTGGGAAAAGACAACCTATACTGGTTTCATTTTTTTTTCATAACAATGTCAAATTGGCAATGCATATGAACTTCATTGTTAGGTGACAGGTGTAGGTACTGTAAGATAAAGGTAAATAAATGTCATTAGACATAATACAGATTGTGTTAAGTTAAAGGGATACTTGAATATAATGTGGAGAGATCGAAATTTCATATGAATTATGATAATTACAACTGTACATTGTTTGCATAATTTGTGAGCTATAGATACTTTACCTTGAAGGTAAATGTAAATGAGGGTGACTTCATATCTGACATATGCAAGTCATGTAAAATTAATGTGATCATTTTGTCATTTTTTTGTTGTTCAACAAATTGAACATACATTGTAATTCAAGAAGATACTCCAACTCATCGATCATATTATGCAAAGCACAAGTTCCTTTATTTCAAAATAGCACTCTATAATTACACTGGGTATATTAGATGATGGGTGAAATGCACAATTGGAACAAAATTACTCTAGCTGTTGCTAGCAACATGAATATATGCCATTTTTGTCCACAGATCTTGCATTCACCGAAAGGCAACTTCTTCAATATAGTCAACACTGCCCAAGAAGACCATTGATGCAGCAGACCAGTGGTCACTTACAGCATTCACAATGCTTGTGTTTATTGACAATACTTTTTGAGGGACCACAAAAAAGTGGTACATGTACCGGTAACACTGCTTATGAGAAATATTATGACTGCAAATACATGTAGTCAGCAAAAATTTGTTCCCAGTTGACAGAGTGAATAGTGAATTGAAAATTGATCTGTTGAGACCATTTGATGGTGTCTGACAGGTCAAGTAGCTTATCCGACAGTATAAATTCAACTGCAGGTATACTGGGCCAACAGCTACATGTATTTACTGGGCCAGTAGCTGTTCACTGAGTCAGGAGCATTTAACTCTAGGGTCAGCAGCTATTAACTAGGCTAGCAGCTGTTAGCAACTGGTATAGCAACTAACAGAGGCCGTGTCTATACGGAATCACCCAAACCGCGATTCGGGTAACTCACATTACTCACATCTGGTCCACGTGCCACACACACCTGCGAAACCGTGTCCGAACATAATGCGCTTGAGCTACATTTATTGCTGTTTGATGATAACACGCAAGGCGGCGTGTTATTAATGTCAGAGGTCAACGACCTGCTTGCTGGTGCCCCCCTCCCAGCGTATCTCGGCCGAATGCCGACGTGGTCCCGCCAGAGGCGGTGAAGCTCGCCCTAGAACGGACACAATATTTGACCATTACTGCTCTTTAAGTTGCTGCCACGTAAAAGTTGGTATTGCATATAAAAAAAGAAATATCACTCCGTAATCCATGACCAGGCGAAGTCACATTGAAATCACATTGCGTTCAGACGCAAATCGCGATGCGGGGAAACCGATTCGAAACCACCTCTAGAAGTGGCTTGGGATCGAGGCGCTTTCAATGTGATTTCGGAGCGTTCAGATGGAGCCACTTGAAACCGGCTTCGGGGTAAACCACATGTAAACCGCCTTGGGTGATTCCGTTTAGACACGGCCAGAGTCAGTAACTGGGGCAGCAGCTGTTTATTGGGAAAGCAGCTGTTTACTGCTACAGCAGCTGTTTACTGGGCCTGCAGCTGCTGCAATATTGCCTTGCAGAACTCCGGCAGATCTCCTGGAACTCGGGACGTGATCTGTAGAACAGATTAAAAACACATCATATTTTAGCGCTGTTGTACATTTTGTTGTATGTAGTACATACCGCAGTACATTTTCAAACAGGTAAAAAGCAAACAAATAAAGCAAAAACATTGATTATCTTCCTCTAACGTCCTGGTGTGCAACTGTTTTCAGACGCCAGAAATTTTGTGAACTTCAAGACAGAAATGCTCTGAAATACTCACCAAATTGCCGTCCACAACCACAGCACTGTCCTCATACAACCCTCTGGAAAACAGATGTCTTACATTAATACATCTACCATTCAATTTGACATTAGAGCTTCATGTATATTTAAGATGTCGATGAAGGTCCAGATAATGACACACACAAGAAATTGTTACTCAAAGTAACTGTGGATAGATTTGAAAATTGTTAGATCTTTCAAGTTTCAACTAGCATCCACTACTTTTCATCATGCATATTGTTACTCAATCAACTGGATGGATTTGAAAACTGTCAGCAATTTTAAGTACAAGACTTAGTAGTACAGAACAATGACGGTTTACAAATCTATCCTGGTGTTTGAGTACCAATTTCTTCTGTATGACTATGAGGGGAATTTATGTCATGTATAAGTGAGTGAGAAATGCTACATGTACTTTAGTTAACAAATCAAATAGAATTGAATGAAATCCCTAAGTTTATTATTGTACATTTATGCTCTTACAAGCTAAGTACAGGTTATGAATAAAGCAGAAGTAACAAGATCACAGTAATATCCTACTAATGATAGATGTGTGTATAATTCTCATTGCTACAGGACTGTAAATGGCAAGTTTGAAAGCCATATGAAAGATAGCGAGTCCACAGACTGAAAACAAAATGACCCCTGACCCAGCGTTAATGACGTCGTCCTTGATGGCGTGGAAACAGGTCAGTTTCTTATCTTTGATGATCCGTGCCGAGCAGAACATCCAGGCACCGTGGCAGATCGCTGCAACTGGTTTACCTGCAAAAAATACAGGAGTCACAAATCTGAACTTGACTGTGAAATATACCACAATTTTACCTGCACTAACCTGCATATACCCAGTACATGGACCAGTGCAGGTTAGGTGCAGGTAGACATCAGAAATACCTGCACAGCTCCAATTTTACCTGCACTAACCTGCATATACCCAGTACATGGACCAGTGTAGGTTAGGTGTAGGTAGACATCAGAAATACCTGCACAGCTCCAATTAATTTATACCTGCACTGCAAAACTATACACCCAGTATTTCCAGCCCTGAAATTAATTTCTGGTTTGAAACACCTGTGACAATGAGTTTATATTTTGGAAAATTTGCATACCAGAACCTACCTGCATTAAACATGTCTCTCACAAGGTCCAGAAATCGTGGGTCCCTCCTCCAGTAGTCTGGAGCCCAGCCGCCAGGGATGACCAAGGCAGCCAGGTCCTAGTGTAGACAAGAGTTTAGAGATCATACCTTTGTGAGATATTTAGACCTTGTCAAGTCACTGCTATAAGCGTGGGAAGATGCTTGAGACAATGTAAAAGGGATGCCATATGCATGGTTATACCTGTGATCTGGATCCAGTTTTAGCTCACTGAAATTGTGAAAAGCTATCTTTCACTGGTTGCGAAACCACATTGTGTGCAATACTAGTATTTACAGGTTCATTGTATAGAGAAATTCTTCTAGCTCTGACTTTTCAATAATGAATACAAGCAGCATACAAATGGATTGACAACAGCCGGGATCCAGTTAAAAGGCATCCTGTGAAATTTCAGGACAGTGAAACTGGATTTTCAAAATCGACTTTCTGATTATTCTTTTAATGTAATAAGTTGACTCAATCCTATCTCAAGGGATACTGATATCTGTCAAACGTGTGATGTTTCTGATGAAAAATGGTTGCTTGTTTTGTATTTTACCATTTTTAGACCTGAGGTTCTAGCCATTTATGGGCTGAGTCAGTGAGTACAAAACGTCGGCTGTGAATAAATACTTGGTTGTGTAAAAAGAGTCTCTTTATTCCATGACTTAACAACCTGATATATTCACAGATTCTAATGTTACATGTTACCCACCGCAACAGACACAGCATCTATGCTGGTGTCTGACTTGCAGGGGTAGCCATGTTTGGACGTGTAGCTCTTGTCCTTCTCAGGTCCGATAGCCACCGTCCTGAACCCCTCCTCACGGAACCTCAGCAGAGGGTACCACACCTGCAGGGGGATGTTTGTTATAATATGTAGGGATGTACAGTAATCTATTGGGAGATTCTCCTTTATTGTCAAATTATTGAAACACACTGAGACAGAGACACACACATACACAAAGACACACACACACACATGCATGCAGGTAGCATACTGGTCCAGAAATCAGCGTTTCATATACGGTTTCATACGTATCAAGCATACGAATTTTGTGTTTTGTTTTGTGAAAGAGCCTTCATTCTTCTATCTTCTAACACACGTCAAATGAATTTTGATATGTACACATTTTGCCTGTTCGTGTGTACGGTCGTCTAGATCTGTGCTTATGTCAACCATGGAGCTGGTAGTGCCGACAAACTTGCACCTGCATGTGCAGTTTTGCAGTGTACCAAATTTGACCCGCGTACCATATTCACCAACGCACGTATAAAATGCATGGGGCAGTGGCTACATGGGCCTTTTCTTGTCTCCAAATTTGCCAGACTGGGAATGCCGTGGAAAGCTGAAACTGTTGCAGTTTGTGTGCCACCAACTCACACATTACACATGTCTAAGAAACAGGCCTAGGAGGAGTGAACCCGGGCACCAGTCCACAGGCAGACACTCTAACCGCTCGGCCGGCCCGGGACCAGAAGTAAAAACCCTTCTGGTCCCGGGCCGGGGTTCGAACCCACGACCTCCCGGGCACCAGTCAGATGCTCTAACCGCTCGGCCGAAAAGGTCTAGACCCATCGGCCGAGTGAGTTGGTAGCGCCTATAAACCCCCTACTGTTACACACGGTCCACTGCCCGAGCCTAGACTGCCATCAAGCCAATTAATATACTTTTAGGCTGATTTCTATGATTTATTCAGCCTGCAAAAGAAGTCTGGTGGAGGCTACCTGTGCGGATGGAAACTATGGAAAAGTAGGTCAAAGTTGAGGTTTGTGTACTCATCATCAGCTGTGACCTGGTCGACCCCTAATCTCCAAGCAGATCTTTGGTGGGGGTAAGACAACATCAAATTGGCCAGTCTGTAACCCAAGTGTTTTACAGACTGGCCAATTTGATACTGTCGTACCCCCACCAAAGATCTGCTTGGAGATTAGTCGACCACCTGTTTTCTTTCTATATTTGGGAAGCAGACCCTTGTGGCTACCTGGTGCAGAAGAATTTTAGAAACTGCAACAGTCGCCGCGGCTACTGTCTGCCCTGCTTCCCAGACCCTCCGCCAACGCCTGGCCGATTTCCGTCTGTGGTCTCTGGCCTTCAAGTTCAAGGGAAAAATCGCGGTGACGACAAAATTGTACATTCCAGTCTGGCGACACCTCTTAGGCGGTTACCAAGACAACGACTCATCTGATAGAGTATAGTCTCCCCTACACACACGTACATAGACTAAGGCCACACCAATTTAATTTCCTGGTTAACGGATTTTTCTAGAAAAATAATGGAGCGGGCGGGCGAAAAAAAATAAAAATAAAAACAGGCCTAGGCATCTTATTATGGCCCAAAATGGTACGATAGGAGCCATGAAGTCAACACACCAGGCTGGTTCAAAATTTAAACAATGAATTTTGAACTTTTAATGGTAGCACTGCATTGAAAGATGGAATGACTGTAACAAGTAGTAAGAAAAGGACTGTTTTCAACTGTTCAGGGCAAAATATGAGCATTTTGCAGTTGATTCTGAATTTTTATTTTTATTTGCAAATCAGAAAAAAATGAAGAGGCGAATCCGTTAACCAAGAAATTAAATTGGTGTGGCCTAATCACCCAACTCAGCTATCACATCCGCACAGAATTTGAGCCCACGGCGCCCAAATATAACAAACGATTTCTTCGCTGAGCCCTTGACCCACTTCAGACAGTTGAGGAGTAATGGCATTCAATAATACAGCAAGAGAATTACCTCCAGATCTTCATAGTTGAACTCCACCAACACTCCCACGGTCTTTGCCATGATACACCCACGGAGCACGGATAGGGATTCTCCCACGGATCAGGTTTACGGGACTTTCATGCAAATAAGATGCAAATAAGGTGTAAGCTCAGATGATGATCACTGATGATCACAAACAGATGATGATCACTAGAATTGCAAAAATAATCAAATCAGGGTCTATTTTCACGAATATTTACAAAAGCAAAAATTTTATTTCACCCATCGAAAATTTGTACGTGAAATATTTTACGTTATATCAACGTGTCAGCATATTGTGCGTTTTGTCGCCCTCACTCTCATTCCCAAACATCGTAAAGCAACATGGCGGCCCTAGGTGTGATGAATGGAAATGCTTTGTTTCCCGTGTTTCTGTGCCTTTTCTGCTGCGTGTTTCACACCGGGGCGTCTACAACAGATGAATATAGTGAGGAACTTCTTATCGTGCCGTTCAGGAGTGGCCAGGTGTACTCGCACTTCGAGTTCACGACGTCGTGGGATGTAGATTTCGCGGGAAGCGAGGGAGGGCCGCGGTACAAGCTGCACCACTTCCGTCTGTTCCCCCGGGCTTTGGGACAGGTGCTGACAGAGTACCGCGTACAGGAGATGCACCTGACACTCACACAGGTACAGCTGGGAGGGGCTGGGACAGGTGATGCACCTGACACTCACACAGGTACAGCTGGGAGGGGCTGGGACTGGTGATGCACCTGACATCCACACAGGTACAGCTGGGAGGGGCTGGGACAGGTGATTCACCTGACACACACACAGGTACAGCTGGGAGGGGCTGGGACAGGTGATTCACCTGACACACACATAGGTACAGCTGGGAGGGGCTGAGACAGGTGATTCACCTGACACACACATAGGTACAGCTGGGAGGGGCTGAGACAGGTGATGCACCTGACATCCACACAGGTACAGCTGGGAGGGGCTGGGACAGGTGATGCACCTGACACACAGGTACAGCTGGCAGGGGCAGGGACAGGTGATTCACCTGACATCCACACAGGTACATGTACAGCTGGGAGGGGCTGGGACAGTTGATGCACCTGATACTCACACAGGTACAGCTGGGAGGGGCTGGGACAGATGATGCACCTGCAACACTTTTTAAAAAGTAATTTCATAATATTGATATGCAATAATTTGTTGTTCAAGTTATTGCATCAACAATGTTGTATGCTACTTTGTTTGTACTTGTTTAAAAATTCCAAGTACTATAGTATGCTGACCTGATTGTTAGGCAAAAAAGCAGTTTAATTAGTGAATGAATGAATGAATGAATGGATGGATGGATGGATGAATGAGGCTTTATTAACGTGTCGTGCACTTTGTGTGGCCAGCCCATGTGGGCTTATATGACACCATTTGGAAATACATGTACAATATGTGTGGTACATAAAACAAGAAAATCAGCGGTACAGAGATAACATAACCAAGCATAAACTGAACACAAATTTAAACAAGACGAATACAAGCAATAGACATCTTCCCTCCATGAACAAGGTTGGTGTTGTTAGGGTTCTTTTTTATGTTATCGCATGTGTTCATTGTTAAAACATGACAGCTGGGTTAAAATTTAATTGGACGTTATATGGCCATGAATAATGAGGGAGTTGCTTTGTGTTGGTACAATTTTAATTTTTATCATGTAAGTACCAACCCAGATAAACTTTCAAGCGAGTTTTACAGTGGCCTCCTGTCGGCTTCACAGACTACCAGAAGTGACATGCAGACTTATAATCACCATGAATAATGGTATTTCCTAATAGCCTGAGAGACATTTGTTTTCCTGGTGGTAGGAGTGCAAGGAGTCAAGTTACGAATGCACAACACCCAAGCTCCCTGTCCAAAGCTAACCCCGGCCCACAGGTCTCAAGTCCTTATCTATGGCAGCAAATAATCAATAAGAAATGCACAGCATACCTTGCAGAATAAACTACACTACATATCTACAACCACCAACTATTATGGACACTAAAACACAGAAACTAAAAAAATACTACGAACCAAAGATAATCATAATCAATCCTGCAGAGGTGAGGTCATTGACCTCTCAATCACAACACAAACAAACCACCCCATTAGCAAGGCCGGCAGGTCATTATGACCCAAAAACCAGACCAAAGAAATATATAGCCTGTCAAACAGGAGGTAAAAATAGATACACTGTGTCCCAACACAGACCACACTACTATAAAATAGGGGTGATAATGTAGAAATCCTTTTAAATTAAGCAATACAAATATACGACAACCTGCTAATGCACTCTAAAACACAAAGAGACTCAACAACTACCCACATACCAAAAATTATACTAAACCATCCACCAGATTTTCCAAACATTCAACACAAAAAGACCAACGTTAAACATTTTGTAAATATCAAACGCAAACAGCTAGGAAACCCAAATTTAAACCACTAAACCATAATAACAACAACTACATGCTACCTTAATCGCACAAACAGTCCATAACGCGCCAACAATAGAATAAAAAAAATTAAACTGCAGTACCAAGGTCAATCACCAGGGGCTCAAAGTCAACCTACACAATCTCCAAGGCCCCATCCATCAATCTGCCAAATATCATACAGTTCCTTTTCACCGATCTTCAGATATCAGACCAAAACATGAAACGGACCAAAAACAATACCCCCATTACATGGAGTAATAAGGACTACCCTCTCCCATGGCAGGGCATGTGGCAGCAGGACAAGTGGGGTTATCCTGTTGTGTCAGCAGCGCCGGGTGCAGAGCTGTGGGTGTGGTTCCAGCAGGAGGTAGCCGACGTGGACCAGGCGTGGTTCGGACTGACCAATGCCCTGTCTGGCCTCTTCTGTGCCTCACTCAACTTCATCGACTCCACGTCCACAGTAACCCCACACCTGTCCTTCAGACCACAGGGGCTGGCAGGGGGAGTCTTCTCAACTAAACCTTCTCACCTACGGTAGGCAGTTTTTATCATCAAATTAATGTTTCAGTTCAGACTGAAAATAATTTCATCAGGTTGTTACTGTTTAGAATGTAGGATATTGGGATTTTTTTATACACAACCAGGGATTCTCTCACATTGCTTATGTTTTGATGCCTATCAGACTTCTGACTGGAGTACTGCTTCTCACTGCTATATGCAGGCAAAGTGTGTTTTTGCTATACTTGAAAAGTGCCACCTACATGTACATTTAGTGGCGAAAAGTAGTACTCCAGTCAGAAGCTGTGAGGAAGGTGTCTAAAAGACATAAAAAACATAAGCAAGGTGAGAGAAGCACTGGTTGTGTATAACTATAAGAAAATACCAAATTAGCCAACATGTTTAATTTACCTTCTAGAATGTTTTGTAGCATTTGTATGTTATTGTATGTTTAACTTGCCTACCATATGCATGTATTATGATTGGTCACGTTTGTGTGGGTTTCATATGTGTTGTTCCATTTGTCTCTAGGGACATGAAAACTCAAGAATGTGTTGGTGCATTGTCTTGATATTTGTTAGGTGTGTAGGCATTGGTAAAAACAAGGACATTATAGTATTATACAGAAGATAAGCTCAAGTTTGATGAAGGGCCCTCTAGCAGTGTGTTATGGTAATGCAGTGAAACTGGTCATGAAGGGATCATGATTTTTGGGTGGCGGATAGCTCTTAGCTCTGTGAAAAAGTAGCCTGGGTGCCATCCGATTTGTAATGGCAACCCCTGATTTTTTTTGGGTTGCTGGTAGTACAAATCGGATGGCACCCAGGCTAGTGAAAAAGTGGTGTAGGTTCAAATATGACTTGGTAAACCATGGCCAGTATTTGATACCTAAGCTTTGGTTTACACCTCAGACTGAGACACTAGTAATGTCTCTTCTTTTGTACCTTAACGATGTTGATTTGATTTGCTTATTGTACTATCTGCTTTGCCTTTCCTGAATGTGTGTAGATATGCGACCCTGCCCAGAGAGAATGTGTGCACAGAGAACCTGACTCCATGGAAGAAACTCCTGCCCTGCAGTACCAGGACTGGGCTAGCAGCACTCTTTCATGCAGGTCAGCCTCAGCCAATCACGATCAGCGGTTTATCAATAATTGGTCAAGCCTCAGCCAATCAGGATCAGTGGTTTATCAATAATTGGTCAAGCCTCAGCCAATCAGGATCAGTGGCTTACCAACTTGGTCAAATCAAACAGGAGATGTCATTAGTAGATGGGACTGGTCTTACAATCATTTAGTGTGATGAACCATCTATGATTTCAAAACTAATACAGTCCAATCTAGCCATCTATAATGACCCCTCAAGACACTTGAAAATGTGTCCTTCAGACCTGTGACCACTAGACAGGATGGGTCAGTGAGAAAATTATATTAATTATAGTTACATGTAACTAGTATTAGTCTCTGACCACCAGAATTGCTGGATGGTCTAGTGTGCACAGGTAGTCAATAGACTAACAATGTGGCTTTAGTAAAATTTAGCCAAATACTTGAAATAGGGAGAATAATTTGCCAGGGGAGTTTAGCCACCGTAGAGTTGATTTGCCCTTGCAGTTTGGTAGTCGGCAGGGGAAATCAACCCTTCTACCTTAGCTGACTCTCCTGGCCAATTATTTCCCTTTTTTGTCAAGTTCTATTATCCGTACCCCGTAGGAATGCCTGGTGGAGGCTGTCACTAGAGTAGACAAGTGGAATATTTCTGTGTTTTGCTGATATGATGTTTCCCCTGTCCAGGCCAGCTGTATAACACACAGTACAGCTCGCTGGGGGTGCACCTGCGCCCAGTGTGCCGGAATGACAGCTGTTCAGATGCCAGCCTGGAGCTGCGGCAGGTGCTGTCCACGGTGGCGGACCCGCCTTCCGTGCTGAACGGGAAGCAGGACTGGTCCATGAAGCGATATTTCTCGCGGTCTCTGTCTGGCCCCTGTCCCCTGGCTGTCACCAGCCGTGTGTATGTGGATGTGACTGTCAATCAGACCAGCAGTTTTACTCTCAAACCAGAACCAACTCAAGTCAAGGTAAGAAGTGGTCCAGAGCAGAACATGTAGCAGAGCACACTGTAACCTGTAATGTATCAGAACTTAGGCAGAATGTCTTTTTATTGTATTTAATAGAAACTTTAGTCGCAAACTCATGCCCGAAGGCTAATTGCTTTTACAATCAAGTATAATACTCATTGCAATACAGTAACAGGAGACAGGTAACAACTGTCTGGAAAAAACTTCTACTTCTACTACTACGCTAGCTATTATGGGGTTCGACTTCTTCTTTGAAGGCAGTGGATAATGAATAGTCCCACATGATAATGATGACATTGTGCTTTTTAAAGTTATGAGTCAGTTTTCAAATGTTGCATAGGGAATGATAATATCATCTGCAACAGGAAAAATTCTGATGCAACACTGACAAAAAATCCAATAAAATCTGGGTTTTCCACAGGTGCAGTATGTCTTACTGACTTGCTCCAAGATTTCCTTGTTTTTTGAGATTAAGAGACAGTTTGCAGCAGGACAGAAAACTCAGATGTTTTGTAATGTTTATTAAGATCTTTCTTTCAGGATGGCTCAGCTGCAAAACAGGTGTAAGAACACCTCGCTGCTACATGTACATGTACATCATGTGTAGTTATGAAATAAAGACTTAACTTCCAACACTTAGATGACAGAAATGGGACTTACCCCAAATTTTCGGTTGACTCCATCAACCTTGTTCACGGAATGGATCCATCTACTCTTGGAACGTGACGTCAGAGACACGTGACCGTAGTTGAGGGTCATATGTGCCAGATAACTTGTGTCATCTGTACCAGCACAGATGAACTTTCATCACGTGTAGTTGTTGCCCCTGCCAGTCAACAACATTAGCAAACAGTTATGATATTTAGAAAACAATTACAATATAGGTTATCGAAAATGACAATTATATTGAAAGCTAAAAAATATCAAAAAATGAATTTTTACAATTATAGATTTATATAGAATGATTATGTCTTTTGAAGAATCATGATTACATTAAATTCACAAAAGCTCACTTGCTCAAGATTTAAACTCTCTGACTTCTTGTTAGATAGAGATATGAATGTTAAGATAATGTTCTATCTCCCTACAGATGACCAATTACCAAGGCTACAGCAGGCAGCTGGCTGTGTATGATCTGTGGGCCTTCCCTTTCCACAAGGAACATGGGCTGAATGTAGACATGAAGTGGAAGAAGGAGGTGTCATATAGCCAGCCCTCCCCTCCACGTCTGTATGTGCACCGCTTTGTCACAGGGTAGGCTCACTTTCTCTACAAAATATAAGATGTAACTTTGGAATGATCTGGATAGAATGTTAAGTTACCACTGTTTTAAGTTGCTAATGAAACACATGTCTGTTTTACACATACATGTATGCGCTTAGAGGCATCCAATGTACAAAATTGTAATTTCTAGGAGGCAAAACTGGATTTTCAAAGTCAATTTCTTGGTCATCGATACAGTAAGTTAAATCAACCCTATCCCACAGCATACTGATATCTGTGAGGCAAGTTTGGGATATTGCGACAGAAAACAGTTGCTTATTTCATGTAGGCTGGTTCTGGCTATAGTTTGTTTGGGGCCATTTCAAAAGCTATAAGTATTAAATGATGATGACAATGTGCTAAGAAATAACAGTAAATATTAACTGTTACATCAAACAGATTTCCACATTCAGAGTATTATTTTTGTATTGCCACCCTGAAATTGCATTTCACGGTTTTTAAGAACAACAGTAACAATTGTTAAAAATTCTGGTTCATTTTGTGGGGTTTGCCTACAAGTTCCAGTATTTAAGAGTAGTGGCTATGTAGTCTGTAAATGGAAGCTCCCAACTGATATGAATTTTACTTTTGTGCTATTGTGATCAGATGTCAACTAATGCCAGGCCCTTGACTATAATTTCAAATGCTTGGTTATCAAGGCCTCCAGAATGACTTCATCACCTGAAATATCTGATGATGAAGTGTGCATACTTAAGGATTTCCTCATACTGAAATTTGTAGATTGCTTTTAGTTCAGCATTTTTTTGAAGTGTTATGTTACATAGCATAATTATCTTGATGTTGGATTGTAATAGTCAAGTCAAGTCAAAGTTTATTGCACTACGATTGTCACGGGTACAATGTATGGCAAATGATAAAATTACTAGTTGGTATGTGTCTAACATAATGCTATATATATGGTCAACGGACATTGTATCTGACAGAGTATTATAAAGAACTACTGGCTAGAGAATATTTCTCTACATGTACATTCTACATTACGCTAAACTATACTCATGAAGGGTACAGTGAGCAGTTGTACCTAATTATACTAAACATGTTCTATGGCTACTAAACAGAGTGTACACTAAGTTACTTGCCAGGAATGTTAAAATTCTACATATAAATGCTACGAAACGCTACACATGTAGTTGATAAAAAAATTCAGTGACTCTACCTATGCAGCTATTCTAAGATGTCTTTTTTGCATGGCATAAATAATGATTGCCTTACTTGTGCCCTCTGTGTGCCAGGTATGGTCAGGACCATGGTGGTATCATGAGTCTCCTGTACAACAGACATCCGTACATGGAGCAACAGGTTATCTACATGGAGCTCATACCATGGTTCACCCGCATGTACCTCCACACACTGAAGGTTAGTAGCCACAACCTACAAACACTATAGCTACTATTACCATGGTTCACCCGCATGTACCTCCACACACTGAAGGTACCTATCCACAACCTACAAACACTATAGCTACTATTACCATGGTTTACCTGCATGTACCTCCACACACTGAAGGTAAGTATCCACCACCTACATGTACAAACACTATAGCTACTATTACCATGGTTCACCCGTATGTACCTCCACACACTGAAGGTAAAGTATCCACAACCTACAAACATTCTATATGGTACCATAGTTCACACACATGTACCTCCACACACTGAAGTTAAGTATCGACAACCTACAAACATTCTAAATGGTACTATAGTTCACACACATGTACAATGTTGTGTATCTACACACTGAAGTGCATTTTCTAAGAACATTGACAAATGAATTCACTTACTGCAGGATATTATAATTAATTGTTTCGATGCACATACATGTAACTCTATCTACACACTGTGTATATGTAGTGAACTAAACTACTGTTAGTACAGTAGATTCTAAATAAGTTAACACAACGAGTACAAACTTGACCTGTGCAGGTGGAGACTACAGAAGGGAACGTGGTCCAGCCACTACTGACCCGTTACCAGCCGGGTAGTGACCGCCAGAGCCCGTACCTACTGGAGCTGGTCCTGACCCTCCCGCCTGACTCCACCACACGTGTGAGCTTCAGCTTCCAGCGAGCCTTCCTCAAGTGGACAGAGTACCCGCCTGACGCCAACCACGGCTTTTATATCAGCTCAGCAGTACTCACTACAATACTCAGGTACAACCTTACTTTGGAGTGAATATTCATGTACATGTAAATATTGATAAATCAATTGTTAAGACAATAAACTATGCTGCATGTAAAATTTCCCCTTGTGCCTGGTACGGTTACTGAACATGATAGCTTTAGAATGCTTGGTATGTGGTACATGTAGGTCTTGATAGGACCTTGGAATGATTAGTTTTTGGGCCCCCTGACATCTCGTTATGGTACTGCAGCAGAACTTAGTAATCCCCTGCTGCCAGGGCCTGTCCCAGGGCCCTACTCTAGGATCCGAAAAATGTGGTAAGGGCCGTTGGAAAATTGTTCCCTGGTTTCACTACGTATACTGCAGTTTCTCCGAGTATATTACTGAGGTATGACCTCCAGTATTGTTATGAAAATGACATCTGAAGTGACATTTTCACATGAAAATTTCTCTCCTCTCCAGACAAGCAGACAACTTCACGGTTCCCCCCGCCCTGGGCAGTGGTCTGCAGGCTGGTTTGTTCCAGTCGTCCACAGAGTACCCGCTGCGCCTGCACACAGAGACCCTCCTCATCAGCCTGCCCACACCTGACTTCAGCATGCCCTATAACGTCATCTGTCTCACCTGTACTGTTATCGCCATCGCGTTTGGCTCCCTGCACAACCTCACAACACGCAGGTACATGTAGGCAGCTCAGATTTTCTTTTAAACAACCGTCTGACTTTGCTTAGTAGGTTTTGTAACTGTCAGACATCTTACTCAGAGCTTCTGACTTGAGTACTGCTTCTTGCTAGCGACCGTCTCTGCCGTGGAATGATTCGGAAGGAGAATAACTGTATATGGGACCAAAGGATATCTCTTCAGCTACAAGACCAGCTGAGTTTGGTTTCTTCAACCTTTTTAATTTTGATAAAATCAACAGAAAAAACATTATTTTCACTCCAAAATTAATGCACAACATTGGGAATTTTCAGGTAAGATAATCCCATAGAAAAAAAATTTCCAGCAGAAATGACTGATGCTGACAGAGAGATCCAAACCTCGACTATACCTGAGTAAATTATAAAGAAAATCCTAGTATCCCAATTTTTTAAATCGTCCACCACGTGAGGGGTTGCAAATCCACTGTCAGGAAGGCGCAGAGCGAAATCTAGGTCCAACAGGAGGATTGCACTTGGCGCACAAGAATACTAGTACCCGTAAGTAAGGTTCGGAGTCAAAATCAATTTTCACCCCAAAATCACAATTTCTTACACTCTTCAGCCATCTTAATGTTTAATGATATTTTGCGGCAGTTTTTGAGAAATGTCAAGCTTGGACCCTCAAAACCCTTTTGTCACTTTTTTACCGCACACTACCATGGACCCCTATTTTTTTTAATTTCCCAGGTTCCAGTATACAGATTTGAAGAAAGCTAACCCAGGTTGGCGTGCTCGGCTGGCCCAGCTCTTCGGCCGCGGGAAACAAACTTCACCTGAAGACAAAAATCAAGACCCCGGGGAGGAGAGTGAGGATCCTGGGGAGGAGAATGAAGACCCTGGGGAGGAGAGTGAAGACCCTGGGGAGGAGAGTGAGGACCCTGGGAAGGAGAATGATGACCCTGGGGAGGAGAGTGAAACCTCTGATGATGAGGGGACTGACAACATTAGAGAGCGGAGAAAAAATATTAAAACAGAGAGTCCTAGCAGAGAGGACATCTTAAAAAGTGACAAAAAGGATAGATGATATGTCTTACTGGCTAGGTCTCTGGGGGAGATGTAGAAGTCTTTTGCAAGAACCGAATGCAGACATACATTGTATGTTTGCTGGTCAACGTGGGAGAGTGTTACAATATAGATCAGGTAATGATAAAATGTCCACTTGTTGCAAAGAGAAAGTAGTTTGGTCACCAGAATACAAGTTGGGTTTTGATTGATGGTGAATACATAATATACTATAACAGATCTCTCCAGTGATCATTCTAATATTTTGAGAAAATTAAATTTCCGCGTAAGTACAAACTTGTCTAAAACAACCACCCAGGGGACCAAGGAAAAGTGGTCTTTATAGAAAAGTGGTCTTGAAATTCTTGAAAAAAAGCATGAATTAAGGGTTAATGACCCGCCCCGAGGTGAATATGGTGTGATAAAGCCTTGTCAGTTGCTATAACCACAGAATAAAGCCACCAAGTGAGCGCAGCGAACGAGGTGGCTTTATGAGGTGGTTATAGCAACTGACAAGGCTTTATCACACCATACTCACCGAGAAAGGGTGGGTCATTAACACTATTATCATATAGCTTACACGATAGCCTATCCAAACTGATACAGTAAGTGACACAATGTACAATTTACCCCTTGCACATGCTGAATAGAACATAGTTCCATCTGGAGTCACCTGAGGTCACTGGGTAGAGTTCAGGTTAACTGGGTCACAGGCAGGGAACAGGTGTTCTTATGGGAGTCACCTGAGGTCATTGGAACACAACTTAAGTTAGAACTAGAGCCGTGTTCTATTGGGTCACCTGAGGTCATATGCGGGTGATTATTGGGTTGTTTAATGTATGGATTGGGATGAATAAATACCCGATTTTGACTCTATTTGTGACATTATGGCGTCATAAGGTATGTGGAATGGAGCCTTATGATTGGTCAACGTCACTAGACCATATTATGACTTTCCCAATGACGTAGGAGATGACCCTACGGCCATTTGGCTGAACTCAAATGAGCCGATTTCACCGTAATAGTTTGCTTTTCATTTAAAAATTGCTGTTGCCTCACTCATGACAATGTTGCGGTGTCGTGATCAGGGCAGAGACTGAGCCGTTTGAGGTCCCAATTCATTTATTTATTTTATTTATTTTCCGTCATTTTTATACAGGGTAACCCAATTCAGTGATGGCACTGCTTTTCAACGGGGCCCTGTATAACACAGCACAATACAACAATCACATACAAATAATAACATTAGCATACAAAAATTATACAATAAATAATTATAATGGCAATGATAATAACGAAAACAATAAATAAATTATAATGGCAATGATAATAACGAAAACAATAAATAAATTATAATGGCAATGATAATAACGAAAACACAGTAATTAACCAATAACAGTAATAAATAGTAATAATAACAAAAAATACATCATTGTCCAGTCCAGTCATTGTCATTGTCCAGTCCTATATGTTGGCATGGAGGGGTCAGAGGTCAGGCCAATTCTTACATTTCATTTTAAAAATGGACATGGACGGACAGGTCTTAATAGCAGTTGGCAGCCTGTTCCAGAGGGCAGGGCCTCTGTAGGAGAATTTGCGCTTTCCACATTCAAGGCGAACAAGCGGCAGTTTCAAAGATAGGTTCTGGCTGTGTCTGGTGGGGTATCTGTGGGATTCAAAAGCCATCTGGAAGTTATCTATGTAGTCTGGGAGTTCATTGTTGACTGCCTTGTACATTGATTGTAGCAGGTGCAAGTTTCTCCGAGATGATAAAGTTTTCCAACCTAGGGTAGATAACTCACCATCGCCAACATGATGTGTATAACGTAAACGAAGGATAATTCTCACTGCCCGGTTCTGGTACTTTTGCAATTTGTCAGACAAGCATTTACCACAGTTTCCCCATATCACATCGCAGTAGTCTATTTTAGGTAGGACTATACAGTTAAACAACATTATAAGAGTGTGTTGGGGCAGACATGGGATGAGGCGTCGTATGACTCCCAGTCTGGAAGAGACCGCATTACACAACTTGTCAATGTGAACTTGCCATGTTAAGCTGGAGTCAAGCCAAACGCCAAGGTACTTATAACTGGAAACAACTTCCAAAATGGTGCCAGAAAGGATAACTGACAATTGTTCTGTAACTGACTGCAGCCTACAATGTACGTGTGGTCCCAAAGAGCATAGCTTTGCATTTATTAACATTGAGAGTCAGTTCATTTGTTTCCAACCATGTCTCAATATTACGAAGATCCGCATTGAGAGCATTGTTTACATCTGTAACTGTCTTGGACGCATAGAAGAGAGCAGTATCATCTGCATACAATACAACATGTCCATTTGATATATAGTCAGGTAAGTCATTAAGGTACATGATGAACAAAAGTGGCCCGAGAACCGAGCCCTGGGGTACTCCCACAGTAACTTCCAGGAAGTCACTCTGGACTCCATTTATGACAGTAGTCTGGTATCTGTCTTTGAGGTAAGAACAGAACCATTCATACTGGTTGTGGTGGCGTAAGTCAAATGTCCGGGTTGAGAAAGTCCCAGTGATAATGCTTGCAACTGTGGGAAATTGAGACTGTTACGGCCAGATGGCTGGCCTATTCACCAGTTTCCCATCCCCAGAATGCAATGCGAAAATAGGGGGTTAACCCTCATTTGCATGGACTGGAAGGCATTAGAATGATCCTGTTGACGTTAAACAGCTTGCTTTTCACTGTGTTTTGAGGTGTTGGGGCATTTTATGCTCAACATTAATTAAATTACTATGGGCCGAATCTGACAACAAATATAGAATGAAGTTTTTGTGTTCTTTTCAACATGGAACATGTGGTTTGTTACGTTACAGCATCAGTATAGCGTTACCACTATAACGTTACAAACCACATATTTCAAAAAATTCATTCTCTATTTGTTTTCA